GATTAGTTTTAGCTCTATTATTTAAATTATAGTCAAAATTATGTGGGGGGGATGCTCAATGGGGACAGTATGGACTCCATATTTTCCCATTGAGCACCTCCCCACCCCCCATACTTTTTTTTCTACTATAATTTAAATAAGATAAAATATGCTGTGGAGGCTGAGGCACACAGAGCAGAGATATGCAATGTACTGTAGCACACAGTACCTGAAGGCTGCAGCTGTCCTGGAGCTCTCTTCTCTGATGCCGTCCAGGGAGCCACCTCATCGCACAGACCAGTCAGAAGTTCCCTCACCTCCCCTGACCTCACTGGCCTGCTGGGAAATGTCGTTTTCAGCGGCAGCTTTCTATGTACCGTAAAAGCCGGGGTAGGTCTTATTTTACAGAAATCTCTGAAGATAGCGCTAGGTCTTACTTTCGGGGAAACACGGTAGTTCTCCTTTAAATGGATATTTTCCATAGGGTGTACTTACTTTTTCACACGACAGTAGAGAAAACACATTTACGGGAAATATTTGATCTTGAAAGCTTTTGTGTGAACGGCATTTCTGCCATCGATTGCCTGTCCAAGTGGCAAACAAATTAAACGCTAGACTCAGCAAATGATTTGCATTTACAAGGGTGAAACATTGCACAACAAGCAAATAAAAGACCAATGAGGGAATCGTATGTACAATAAACATTACGGAGGGTTTCTAGAGCTGGAATTGGGTTTTACAATATGAAATGCCTGTGTCTGCCATAGCAGAGTGTGAGCAGCCTGTGCAGGAGGCTATTTCAGGAAGAGTTGTGTGTGTGTAGCCTAAGCCCCGGGCTATGTTCACACAATGGGATTAGAGGTTACTATGCATTGGCAGGGTGTGACTGCTCAGAACAAGTCACATGTAGGTGATTCAAGCTGGTGACTCAAACCATTTAGGATTTTTTGGGCTTTTTTCTTTCTTATTTCAACTTTAAAGCAGAACTCTGGGCAAAATGTTCTTAACCCTTGCAGTGGTGCTACCCACGGAGTTCATGGTTTAAGTGCTCCTTTTTGTCCTAGTGCTAAAAAAACAAAAAAGTTACTCACCAGATCCTTGGAGCCGGCTTGTTCTTAGACCGATCCTTGCGCTGCAGCAGTCTAAGGATCCTTGGGTCATGTTCTTTACACGGTGTATTGGACGTAAGAATGCTGAGGGACATACCATTGCTGCAGTGGAGGAGACATTCTTCAGGGAGTAGCAGCCAGCCGGCTCCGCAGTTAAGGTGACTTTTTGGAGGGGGGGGAAATTTAACCCTTGCAGCGCAGAGGTAGCCCCACTGTAAGGGTTAAGAACATTCTTGCCTGGAGTTCTGCTGTAAAGGTTATCTCAACCCAAAAACAACATTTATACATTGCAGCTTTCCAGTCGTTAAGATGTGCTGGCTGCATGCAATTTCTTTTTTCCTTCCTTTGTTTTCATCTGGTGATCCTGCTAGTAACACACTTCCTGTCCCGAGGTGACAACACTCACCTGCTGCACTGCAGCTATGGAGAAGCAATGTCACCCTACAGTTCTCTCCTGATTTAGATTACAAACCCCTCCCCCTCTCCTCATGTGCATATTATAGAGGAAAGCGGATATCATTGTTCAGGGTTTCAGCTCAGTGCACAAGATTTCTGACAGGTTCAACAAGTCTTTTTTCTGTATTTGCCACCATCCTGAGGCCTTGTTCACACCGAACGCGGGTGCGTTCCAGAGCGGTAGCTGCTGGAACGCGCCGCGATCGCTAAGAAACTTCTCCCTGCGTTCTGGGGCTTGGAGGGAGCGTGGTGGTGTATAGAATTCAATGGCACCGCTTCCAAGCCCCCCCCACCCGCAGTGCGATCGAACACGTGACAAAACTTTACCAATCTTGCGTTCCACTGCAAACGCAAAAAATAGAGCAAGCCCTATTTTTTGCGTTTGCAGAGGAACGCAACTCTGGCAAAGTTTTGCCACGCGTTCGATCGCACTGCGGGCGGGGCGGGCGTGGAAGGGGTGCCATTGAATTCAATGCACCGCCACGCCCCAAAACGCGGGGAAAAGTTTCTTAACGATCGTGGTGCGTTCCAGCAGCTTCTGCTTTCGGTGGGAACAAGCCCTAAAAGTAAGAAGAGCTCAGAAGAGATTCTCATTGGTCAGCACACTCACAGCACACTCACATGTGTCCCATTGCAACCATTGCATGCCTATACATCCTGAAGGGCAATTTGCAAGGGCGGCAGCCAACATTAGAGATAAGCGACACAGGGACAGTGGTCGGTGGGCGAAATGGGTGTTCATAGTTAGTTCATTTTTAGGTGAAGATGTGAACTAACCCTTTAAAAATGACATAAAAGAAAGGCCTGGAATTGTGTTTATTAAGTGAGCTGTAACATGACCTTGAGAGATCTGCTTTTAAAAGCCTTTAAGGCCCCATTCACACCTAGGCGTATTGTAATATGCGCGTCTGTCACGCGACCGTCACAGTTTTTTTACCGCGATTCGCGGTAAAAAAAGTCGCGCGACCGTCGCGCGATTCCAAAGGCTACTTGGCAGTATCCAAATGGAAAACGCCCTACAAAACGGCCCAAAGTAGTCCCGGGACCTTTTCAGGCGTGGGCCGTTTTGTAGGGCGTTAGGGACGGGCGGAAATACGCATAGGTGGGAACGAGGGCATTGACTACAATGCTATTTATTTTTTTGACCGTTTTGTAGAGCGTTCGTCGAGCATAGGACACGCTACAAAACGGTCAGGTGTGAACGCAGCCTCAAGCTGAACTCCAGGCAAAACAGAAAAGTGCAGATGAAATGCATATAAAAGAGTAGTTTTCATGCCAGTGCGGAGATTTCCACAGCGCTGGCACACACAGCTCCACCCCAGCAGGGCACAAGATCTGATTTTTATCTGCTGTAGTTCAATAACACTCACAGGTCTTGTCCCTACCCCCACCCTGTGACTGAAAAGTGGAAGCGAAAAAAACACAACAATGAGCTTAAATCTCTCTGCTATTCTGCTGTCTCCTCCTATCAGCATGCGTCTTACACTGCAGCACAACAGGCTGGCTCCTTGTGTTGCTTTTTCCTCCCCCTGTCTGAATCCTGTTATACAGGAAATTGCAAGAGGCTGACCCTGGGGCAAATTCAGGGGGCTATCCTTTTGCATTCAGAAAAATAAACTTAATGGGTAATTCCACTTTCGCCAAGTGAATTTGGGAAAATAGAATTACTCCCCTCGCAAAAGGCGAGCGCCTGACCAATGAGAAGTGCTTCTCATTGGTCAGCACGGTCAGAAGCTCTTCTCATTGGTCAGCACGGTCAGAAGCTCTTCTCAGTGGTCAGCACGGTCAGAAGCTCTTCTCAGTGGTCAGCACGGTCAGAAGCTCTTCTCAGTGGTCAGCACGGTCAGAAGCTCTTCTCAGTGGTCAGCCCGGTCAGAAGCTCTTCTCAGTGGTCAGCCCGGTCAGCTGACGCTGACTAATGAGTCTGCCATTTGTGAGCAAAATTCTAAATACAGAGCACAGGGCTGCGCTGCCATGTACGAGTATGGACAGTACTCATTTTCCCAAATTCATCTGGGAAAGTGGAATTACCCTTTATTGATATGTTATTGGATAAAGAGCTGCATTCATTTGTGTAGGTTACATTTGACAGTTCATTCACATCTGTACAGCGCCTTGCTCACGGAAGGGACAGGTGTAGAGTGTAATTGTGTGCAGCCACCAGTACATCCCTATAGGAGGACATGGCTGTACCCCATCCTGCACATCCATGCACCCACACGTGTGGCAGTACAGTTTCGGGTCGGCGTGTACCCACGTGTGACCATGTCCTTCCATAGGGGTGTACAGGTGGCTGCATGCAATTACACACTACACCTGTCCCTCCCCGAAAGCAGGTCTCGGCACGGTCATACACGTCCATGTGAACGAGCCCATAAAAGGCATAGTCCAGCTTTTCCCAAAAATAAATAACTGCACCCACATTAATAAAAAGATCATGTGCATTTATTAGTTTGTTTTTGCATTGGAATCGGCAAAGCATTGCAACCATGATCAGTAAATGGCAGGTGCAGTGCATAGGCTCCTGCAGACTGTTCCTCCATCCCCAGGTCCCTACAGAGGCACAGACCTTTGTTATGGAGTGAAGTTATGAATGGACTACATGTATAGTGGCATCATCATCTCCATTGAGAAGTAAGAGCCTCTCTGCTGCAGTGGCAGATGAGAGGTGTAGTCTCTCCATTCACAGATCCATTTCATAAAAACAAATGGTGTGCGTGTGGGGGGGGGGGCACAATTCAGGTAAGTGATGGGGCAGTTTGGGGTTTTTGGGAATATGACCATGTTTCATCCTAAATAAAAAGGTGTAGCATGAAACAGTCTGCAGAAGATGGAGTTCTTCTTTAATGAAGGGAGATGATTGTTATTTATAAACAGACAAGGAATAAATTCATCATTACAAGTGCCATAAATGACAGGCCACCCCATCAATGTCACCCATCTATACATATGAAACAGTCCATGACCCACATATTCTAATCAGAAGAAAATTACAGTTATCATTGATCCCAAAAAAAATTATATATATATATACACACACACACACACACATATATACAAACACACACACACACACACACACCCTAATATACATACATACGCATATATATTCCACCACTACAGAGTTTTGGAATGATGGGAGTGACCCCTCAGTACAGATAAGAGAAGTATATACACATGTATACAGAAGTATATAGCTGTATACAGCCTCAGTATCCTAGTCGGCGGGTGTGGTGATGTGGGAGGATCCGGGCACACTGAACACACCCGTCCCTGCACCATTCTCCATAGGATCAGTGCCCGCTCCTGACATCACACACCCTGCTGGGTACAGGAAGCCCAGGCCCGGACAGTGTCCCCCCTCTCTGTAGAGGGCAGCACTGGCATTCCTCACCCAAATCACAAACTTTCAGCGACTCGTAAAAGTCCCCCTCCCCCCCGTGCCCGGGGCCTCACCTCGTCAGGAGCTCACACTCACGGGCAGCCGCACAGCAGACCTGAGGAGCCGGAGGAAATGGAGAGGAACCGCTGCTGCTGTCAAGATGGAGCCGACAACAACTATTCCCTGAGGGAGCGAAAGAGGGTACGGCAGCCCCAGCCCGGAAGATAAGAGGGTTCCACCCAGACGTGACGACACCCAGAGGAAAATACAGAGGGTGGGGGAAGGGGAGGGGCTTATACCGGGAACCTGTCAGGCTGGAAATAAGAGGCGTGGCAGGGGTGTGCGCTGCAGGGCTGGGAGTAAGATGAGCCGTGCTTTACTACGGAGTGACACGCTTAGGAAGAGTGTCTGCATAGCGGGGATAAGTGTGTACATATAAGGGGACAACCGTGTGCATATAGGGGGACAAGTGTGTACATTTTTGTAGGGGGACAAATGTGTGCATATAGTGGGACAAGTGTGTACATATAGGGGGACAAATGTGTGCATATAGAGGGACAAGTGTGCACATGTAGGGGGACAGATGTGTGCATATAGAGGGACAAGTGTGCACATGTAGGGGGACAGATGTGTGCATATAGAGGGACAAGTGTGCACATGTAGGGGGACAGATGTGTGCATATAGAGGGACAAGTGTGCACATGTAGGGGGACAAATGTGTGGATATAGATAGACGGACAAGTGTGTGCCTATAGGGTGTTCTGGGGTCAGGAGCCATAAGTACCTCTCTATATAGTCCAGTACCTAAGGGAGGCAGACAAGTTAGTATCACGGTATTAGATACATCCTTCTGCCTGTCAGCGAGTAGTGAAGATGACAACCCTGGAGAATGACTTTCCACAGACACCGTGCCATATTCCTGTCCTGATAAAGTGCATGTATAGCCTTTTTTTTTACAAACTTTATTCCCTTCATTTTGAAAGATTTGCTCTAATGTCCTGTTGCATCTCCGGGACAGGAAATGAGGAAACATTTCCCTTATGGTACATAAACAGCATAAAATAACCTGGTAGGGATTTTAAATCAGGACTCCAGGAAAAGAAAAGTTGTTTTTCCTGAACTTATTTGTACCAATGCTTCTCCCTGTAAAATCCTAATTGTATTCATGCCACAGAGTACTACCAATGCTGTGAAAGGAGAGCTACTGCTCTCATACACACAGGCCATAATGGCATTTGTCCCCTCCCCTTCCCCATTCACACAGTGCTTTGTATTTTGTAAATGGTTCTCAGAATACAATGTGTTCTGTGCATGGATAAGGGGACATTATGGTCTGTGTATATGAGAGCTTCAAGTCTCCTGTCGCAGCATCGGAAGTACTTTCCACCAACCTAAATTTAGAAGTAACTTTTTTTTCCTGGAGTCCTGCTTTAAAACCCTCTGTCAGTTTTGTTTTTTTTCCTGTCTGTACCATTGCAGCATTTTTCTTTACTTTCTGCTCCAGAGATGCAACAGGAAGTTAGAGCAAATCTCCCAAAGTGAAGGGACCTCTTCTCTTAGTAGTCCCCAGAACAAGTGTCCCCGTTGGAAGATTTCCCTCTTGTCTTGGGAGCAACACTAACATTACAAATTTGCCCGTAGTTCCCCCTTTCGGTGACAGTGGTTACCAGGACGAATAGAGAAGTGACTCTTCCCAGTGGGAACACAGACAGCAAATTTGACAGAGGGTGTAATCCTTTCCCAATCTAAGCAAAACTTTGATAACAAAAAAGTTAAGTTCCTTTAAATGGTCAGAGTTTCCAGGAATCTGAAGGTGGAGGAGGAGCGGGAGAGGCCTAATAGGTTGCACTAAGTCTCCAAGGAATTAACATGAGCTTATTGGTAATCAGCTGTACATGTGTCCATAATAAATATTACAGTGGGGTAACATTGGATGATAACGGGTTATTTTTAATTTTATAAAAGAGCAATCATGTGAAGCAAACCCCTACCCGCCTACGAAAAGGGCCATGCATTTTTGTTCATCCATTATAATTAATAACAATTCATCTGTAATAATGAATGGGCTGCCCTAACACATGCACGTTACCACACATGCGCATTAATGCACTGAAACAGAACACTTAAGTGTGAATGGGCCTTGAGTGGTCTAAACTAGCCTCCAACATCTCCCTGGTGTGATGAAGATAGAGATTGCAAAGACACTTACATACTGTAAAAACATTCACCCCACATTTATTGCACACTCAGTGAACACATACCCCACATTCACTGCACGCTTACTAAGCATTCACTGCACAGTCACTGAAAATTGATAGAACATTCACTAAATATTCAAAGTAGGGCTGTGGAAATTAAAGATTAATTTCTCGATTAATCGTTAAACTTTTTGATCGATTAAAATTATTTTGATCGCTAATGAAAACACTCACCTCTCCGACGTCGATGTCCGTGACGGCTAACGAAGGGAAGGGGGAGGAGTCCGGTGACGTTGATGTCCGTGACGTCACCGGACTTCTCCCCCCTTCGTTAGCCGACGGAGCCACTTGGGCCGGTGAGTTTGCCCAAGAAACTTTCTGCACGAGTGCCAGCCAAGGCATTGGCCTATACACATACAGCGCAGCAATGAAGTAATAAAATGAACTAGGATCACAGTAATTCAGCACGTTATTATTCTGAGTTGCCCCACTCAAGCGGCGGCCATATTGAGTGGGGCACGTGAGTTTAATAACGTGCTGGATTAGTGTGATCCTAGTTCATTTTATTACTTCATTGCTGTGCTGTATGTGTATAGGCCAATGTAGTTGGATCGGTATGTGCGTTATAATTAATCAAAATTAATCGATTTTTTTAAAATTCGATTAATCGAACATGAACATTTTAATCATTACCAGCCCTAATTCAAAGCAATAAACAACCGATTCACCCAAAAAGTCTTTATCTGTACAATACACATCCATTTGCTGTCACATTCACTTCAATAAAAAATATGGTGCACCTTGTTGGTGGATGCCAGTCTACCCAGTATGGTGAATGTGCCTTTGATAAATCTACCCCCTTACTATCCTGCAATAAACTGAGCGACACTTGTAATGTTGTGTCATCAGAGTCCGTGTAAACTGAAAATGACAACACACAGATGTCTCCATCCCTTGCCAGAGCCAAAGTATTTGCTAAGCTTGGGCAAATCTATTACATGTTGTTGCATCCTCGGTTAGTGACTCCAAGGTCTATGGTGGATCTGTATGGACTCCAATATTTCTGTTGTAAAGACATAAGTACGGCAGCAACCAGCACAGGGCAGTCTGAGCATAAAGAGGTTCATTTTGTGTGCTTCAGGGGTCATTTTAAGTAATGTTAGGTCCACAGATTACAGTTTTAGTGTTAAGATAAGGGTTAGGTTTTAGAGGGTTAATTAAGTGTTAAGAGTCAGGGGCTTAAAGTGTATGTCCAACCAGCTTTTGGTAGAGTGGGGAAAGATAAGAACCACTGTTGGGGCTACCCTCGCACTGCAAGGGTTAACTGTTTTAACTGATTGCTCTTAATATCTCGGGGACCTGTATAAAGGACTTTTGCTTACCTGAAAAAGATCTTATAGCAGAACTCCGGGCAATAGAAATCTTAACCCTTTCAGAGTTGGAAATGTGAAAAAATTAGAATATTGTGAAAAGTTGCAATATTCTAGGCTCAAAGTGTCCCATTCTAATCAGCTAATTAAGCCATAACACCTGCAAAGGGTTCCTGAGCCTTTAAATGGTCTCTCAAGGTGGCCATACACTTTACAACCATCGCAAGACCTTAGTCTTGCGATGGTTGTAAAGTAATTTAAAAAACGTACGATCTGCCCATCTTGGACAGGCAGATCGTACTTGCGATCATCGCAAGCCCGCCCCCTGTGAGGGGCGGGCTTCCGATGACTGCAATGCTGAACGGGCAGTGTGCACGTGCGCACACCGACCCGTTCGGCATTTGTCTCCCGAGCATCGTTCAAACCAGCCGAAAGTGTAAGCTCCTCTGTATAGAAACTAATGTGACTGGCTCAGTGTTCTCTGTACAGCCCTGTGGTATATGTCAAAGCTATATAAATGCATAATAATAGTGTGAGACTGTGGGGGGACCACAAGTACCAGCATGCCATTGACAGCTGAGGGGGAGTGGGGGGGGGGCTAGCCATGTAGGCTGTATGGAGTCCTATGATTTCTAATGGTGGCCCTGCTCCTGTCTCTAACCACACCAGTAACATGTTCATAGTCTCTGATCATCATTTCTTCTAGTAGGTGTGCAGTCTCTTACAGTCCTCGCTAGCATTTAGGCTGGGTTCACACCTAGGCATATTGAATATGCGCGTTTTTACCGCGATTTGCGGTAAAAAAACCGCGCGACAAACGCCCGTTTTTGAGGGTTACTTGGCTGTATCCCAATGGAAACGCGAGACCAAAACGCCCCAAAGAAGTACATGTACTTCTTTGGTGGTAGGCCGTTTTGTATCGCGTTCGGACGGGCGGAAATACGGCAAGGTGTGAACCAGACCCATTGAATACAATGGGATTTAGATGTTTGAGCGTTTTGTAGAGCGTTCGTCGAGCGTTGAATGCGCTACAAAACGTTCAGGTGTGAACCAAGCCTAAATGTACTGAACATTATGTGCAGCTCTTTGGTACTTGTGTTGCCCTTGGACCCAGCACTTTGTAGTGGAAGCACTGATTTAAAAAAGTATAATAGCAAAAACCACTAGTAGACTAGTAGGCAAATACCATGTCGTGCGTCGCTCAATGTGTCTACTTCAGCAGGACTCATCTCTCCAACTGCACAAGTAACATGTCCCCAGTCTCGTCTAATATGTCTGCAGGCTCTGACTCTCCTTCTACTTGAGTGGCTCTTGTCTCTGACAGTCCAGTGCTTGTGTGGCCCTTGGACCCAGCAGTCTGCAGTTGAAGCATTGATTTGTAAAGGCGTAATAGCAATGATCTCTAGTAATCCCATATACCATGTCCTGAATCTCTCTCTGTCTTCTTTCCTTCCCTGGCCTTCTTTTCCTCTAGTATGTCTGCAATCTCTGACAGTCCTCTCTAGAATTATCTATACTGAACATTATGTGATTCCATATTAAGTTGACAACCATTGTTCTATCCACCCAGCATATCAGAAATGAGCAAATACTACACAATTTTTTTCCTTTTTTCATTTAGGGCTAGTTTGCATGGATATTGTGCTTTGTGACAGATGTGGAATGCAGTGTTTGAACTCTGAATTGG